ACATAAAAGATTATGAAAATAAAAAAAAATAGTCTCGGGACATGACTCAGAGCAGAAAAGAGAGAAAATTACATTAGGATATGAATTAATGTTCTGTTCTCTTCAACAGGCCCTTCAGTTCTGAATCACTTCAGTCATCAGAAACTATGTAGGCTAATAAAACGTGTCGTACAGTACATTGTCTTACATAGCATGTACCTTGAGTCAGAGAAGAAATGAGAAAAACTGTAGAGGGAATCTGTACAATTATAGATTTTACTGATTTAATTCATTTTCTGTATTGCGAGAGACACATAATGTAAGAGTGGGCATGTACCAATAGGTTTACATTCATCTTATTCAGTAACCACTTTCTCCTTAGTGGGATACAGTCTTAACCAGCAGGGCATAAGACAGGAAACACCTTTGAATGATACTCCAGTCCATCATATTGATCACATGTGCAGTCACACATCCATGGAGGGTCATGCTCATGTGTCTTTGGACTGTGGGAGTGTTGGAGGAAACAAGAGCACAGAGAGAAAACAAGCAAATACAAGATAGGAGCATGCAAACTCCCCACACAAGGCACCGCAGATTAAATCACAATCCAGCTCAGAACCCAGGAATTGTGAGGCAGCAGGCCTACCTGCTATAAAAACATGTGGCCTGCATTGGGTTTGATTTAAAATGGAATCTGTCTTGGTGTGGAAAACATCTATGCCCTTATAACTTTCAGTAGTGTTACCTGTAATATCGAATGAGTACTTTATTCATTTTCATATGAGGGGGGAAAGGGTCAAGCCACAATATTGGGATTCCCACTTTCTATGTGGAATTCAACAGACTGCTGTGTCAGTTGCGATAACATATCCATGTGTGCTGAAGGCTCGCAGAGAGCTGATCAGTACCTTTCTCCTGTGTGTGCCTGGAGGGTCCTGCAAATGTAATGGTTCTGATGGAGAGGCTCCTTACTGCTGGCACATGAGATGGAGCACACGGCAGAGTGGGCACGGGGCTATGCAGTCCACTATTAATAGTGCATTGTGTCTTTTACAGAAATATCTGGTGATTCTGTTTTCCAATACTTGTCATTTTTTTCAGAAGCACTTATACAAAGTGTTCTGCACGAACGTGCATACAGTAGATAGACAGATAAGACTTTATTGATCCCGAAGGGAAATTGAGTACATATACCATATGAGTACGTACCAGTACATATGGTGACTTCCATAACAATACAGTTACACTGCCCTGGCAAAATAAAATGAAGGCATGTGTTGGAATAACGTGCTTGTTGCTAACCAAGGAAACGGTAACATAAAAGGAGATTAAAAAAATGTACAGTTTTTATAGTACACATGAACAGACTTTGGCTCAAAGCATTGTCTCGGAGACTTCTCTAGGCACGAGGATCGCTAAGACTAAATACAGTCTCTATGTAAAAAAGGTTGATGCCCTGACATAGGCACACATCTATGACATCTGGTAAAAGCTTTTAGAGCAGGAAGACTGGAAAGTGTTCATGTTGTTCTATTCTTTTCGAAATGTAGATCTTTCTTCTCTCTTTGACCTTTTAATTGCATCAATCAGACCACAGGGGAAGGTCAGTTTTCCAGTTTGCAAAGTGAGTTTTGTGTGTGACATGCTGTCTCGCATGTAAAAAAGGTTACCAATGGCAAAAAAACAGAAATAGACTGAATAAATAGTCTTAAATCTGAATGGAACTGTGCAGTAAACTTTGTGTAGATCGTGGGATGTTTCTGTTCTCCTCAGGTGAGAAGGGACAGGGGTTGTTACATGACTGTGTGTGAGCTTCGTTTGAATAATTTTGGCAAACTAGTTACTACACAGTCAAATCTGAGGTTCAATAAAAGTTTACAAGCCCATGATCTCATTTTCCTATCCTTCCCTGGCTACAGATTTATCATGTGGACCTCCTGTTACTCTGTCTCTGTAAACAAGGGCAATCTGACATCCTGCTTGCTTTTGGTACCTTGACTTTATTGTACAGCAACAGGAGCTCTGCACAGGAAGTGTTTATCATTTATTAAGATCCCCAAGGGAAACAAGAGTCACCTCGTTCAGACAGCAGGGATCTGATTGCACAAGATTGATTGATGTTCCACTATGCGTGTACACAAAATGTGTGTGTATGACAAACGTCTTTGCAAGACTACCACCACTATGAAGCTTATTAGATTCAGTGTGGTTTGGGATTACAGTAAATGTAGGCTGCTTTTGTAGGTTATTACTATTATTGCAATATATTTTCATAACAGTTGCGTTCAAGAATTTGGTCACAAAAGTGAAAAACCTATAATATAGTTTGTAAAATCCAATACTTTCCAAGGAACTGAAATTTTATATTTTGATTATCCTCAGTGGGATTGCTTTCTGCTGGAACTCAGCACAGTATTAAGGACTGGCTAAATCAATTAAAGGTTTGCAACTCCAGTCATTGTTGGTAATAGATTTGGTTTAAAAGTCTTCCATCTCTCAGAAATTACTTAATTCTCAGGATTTATCTTTGAGCTCTGTTATGTACTTTGTCCAGCTCCGTAGCATGCTTTTGTAATGGTAATATTAAGGATATGTATCCCATTTTGCCCATTACGAGTGCATTGGAAAGAAAACAAGCACTTAATGTGACATCTTGCTTAGAATGTAGCAGGAATAAGAATTCCAAGGAAATCCATGCAAAGTAACATTTCTATTAAACTCGCAAGTTATTCACTGTTGTATTTCCTATTGCGCTGTCTAGTAAAAAATGGGAATCACTGCTGATTTTCTTCTGTTGCGCAATCAGGCGCTGTATTAAGATGCAGGTCACATCTGGTGTGAAGGACTGCTGATAATCCATAGATTCAGCAGGGCTAATGTTTGAAAAGTTTATTCAGAGAAAACAACTGAATTGCAAATTTCTCAGGCAGGGGGAGAACGACACAAATAAAGCCATTTGTAGGATGAAGTTGGATCTGTTTTCTTTTCATGGATAGTAAATTGTTAGGAAACCCAAAGAAACATGTATTTATTGCTTGTGAGCTTTATATAACGAATTTGATGATACATTGCACTTCAATGTCTCCTTGATTCTTTATTTAATCACTGGTCTTTTTTTAAATACGTCTGTTTCTTAGGTTTCACCACTCTCATTAAAACCAGATAGATTTAACTTTTAATTTTTAATTTCCTGTCTTTGTTCCCTAATTTTTTGCGGAATGAGAAGCACAGTGATTATATTTTTAATACTTCAAGTACATAATGTAATTTTGGTATTTCATTGAAAGAGTTTTTGTGTGTAGACATGTTTCCTTTTCTGAAGGGAGTCAAAGAATGGACTTTATTAATTGGAAAAAAAATCTTAATGTTAGAACTAATATTACAATGCACCAAGAGTATTTAGCAATTTAAGCTCTTAATAATATCTACTGGATATTGCCTTCATGTGAAAATCAGAATTATTTTCTTATCCTGCAATTATATTCACCAAATAGGATGTGCAATTATTCAGTTCTGACTTGCCTACTCAGTCTGGTAATGAGAATGACCTTCAGTTTTTTTTTCAAGAACATTAGCCGTAAAACTGGGTATATTCTGGCAAACTATGCCTTTATTTGGAAATGTCATTTCTACAACAGTTTAGAGGAAAAAGACAAGAACAGATTGATTTTACCTGCCCACAATAAACAGCCAACTGAAATTTGTTTTTAAGATTCTATAAATAACATTGGATTCCATTGCCTATGTGAATAGCTCCTGGAGAATTTAAGCTTATTTTAATAAGTAGGGCAGAAATAATAAGGCAATCCACACACTCTTCATGTTATAGAATGAAAAGTAAAAGGATAAAGGGATTTATGAATGTCATCTTTGAAAGCACAAGATAAAAAAAGAAACAGTCACAACACACAGTTCCCTCCCTTTTTGGTGCAGAATAAGCAGAATAGGAAAATACCAATCAGACAGGAAAACCAATATCAACTGTAGGCTGAATTATCAGGATTATAAGTTTTAGCCTGTTTACCATCTCTTGTTCTTTATCAATATGACAATTCTATATAGTCCTTCTAATGCCCAATACAAATGTTGTTGTGCAAAATACAATTACTATATCCTTTTACTTTAAATATTTCTTGAACACTGTGTTAGTTATTAGATTGAACTAAGAAAGCAATACAATAATATATCTTCAGTGCTCATTGGCAGTGTGTGGGTTGCAGATGCTATTACCCATAACCAACAGGGGGAAGAGCCTTCCCCAGTCCATAATGCAGAGGTCTCTTGGATAGGTTCACATTATCAGAAGCTTTGCTGCGCCTGCAAGTGCTTATATTGGATAACAAATTTTAGAAGAACTTTTATGGTCATTTTCTATTTCTGTGTTTATGAATGGTTCTGGCCTCCTCTGCCTAACCTCCAGTGCCACCTGCTTTGAATAGAGTTGAATTGAGGCCTATCAACCTTAACTTATTCTCACCTCCATACTACAATGTGCTTTTTCATGTAAGGGTCTTGTTGGGTGTACGTAAAAGAGAGAAGTAATTTAAGTCTTTAGATTGTTTCAGTGAGTTCACATTCACTGTGTGATTATTTTATTAGTAGTGTATGTAATGTGTTGTCCTTAGAGGTCTAAGCATGTCTTATATTTTAAGTTTTCAAATAAAAACCTTTCTGTCAATCATTATTAGAGATTAAAGTATTTGTAGCATACTTTTGTTCTTGCAATTCTTTTTTAATGTAATACAAAGAATGCTAATTCACTAGGATTTCAAATGTTTTATTTTTAAGAAATTAAAAAAATCTTAAAAAATGTATGGATTCATTCATATAAATATGTGCATTTAATTATTTTTACTATTTTAGGACCACAATTTCTGGTCTGGTTTCCCTACATAGTTAAGAATGGTGCTTTTTTTATCTTAAGACTTCCTAGTTACTACTTTCTCTTGAATAACTAGCACATTGGATCTTAGCACTGCAACAAAATGTCTTACCATATCTGCACTCTATTCTTTCAGCCATTGTCAACCCCAAGCAGCCCAAAGAAACCAAAAGCTTCAATTTTGATTACTCCTACTGGTCCCACACCACTGTGAGTAGCATTTTTTCTTGGCATTAAAAGGATTGTGTCTTGCATAGGAACATAGGATCTACTGTACGATAGACAGGATGGAATAATGAAGCTTGTGCTCTGCTTTCAGCCGGAAGACATCAACTATGCCTCTCAGCAGCAGGTGTACAGAGACATTGGGGAGGAGATGCTGGAGCATGCCTTTGAGGGTTACAATGTTTGCATCTTTGCCTATGGCCAGACTGGTGCTGGCAAATCCTACACAATGATGGGCAAACAGGAGAAGGACCAGCAGGGCATCATTCCACAGGTATCATTCACACACTCTTCACATGGTTTGGCATACTCAATACACTGCTTCAGCATATATATTGACCCAACAGACTACTTCAGCATATATATTGACCCAACAGACTGCTTCAGCATATATACTGACCATACAGACTGCTTCAGCATATATCCTGACTCAATACACTGCTTCAGCATACATACTGACCCAACAGACTGCTTCAACATACATACTGACCCAATAGACTGCTTCAGCATACATACTGACCCAATAGACTGCTTCAGCATACATACTGACCCAACAGACTGCTTCAGCATACATACTGACCCAATAGACTGCTTCAGCATACATACTGACCCAATAGACTGCTACAGCATACATACTGTATATTGACCCAATAGACAGCTTCAGCATGTTCTGTATCCTGGATACACTGGAGCAGCATACTGTACATACAGGGTAGAACAGATACTACCTACAAATGGAACCTATGAACTTCACATTTATATGGTTTCCAGAGTTATAACAGTGCTCTGAAAGATGATTTTGAACTGGAATATATTATAATTTCTAAATATTACATTTAAATATCATTTATTTGTCCTCCCCCATAATTAAGAAATACAACAGAGTACACACTGCCAGATGTTATACAGAGCACTGTAGACTGCCTTTGCCTGCTGTAATACAATGCTGTGATTTTTATTTAGGTTCATGTGTAGTTTGTACATAGAGTTTAGCTCTGCAGAGACACAGAACTGCTTCATGCTAACCCACTTCCTTTTCGTTGCAACAGCTGTGTGAAGACCTCTTCTCCAGAATCAACGACAGCAATAATGACAACAGCATGTCTTACTCTGTAGAGGTGAGTAAAGCCCACATCACAGACCACTGTCTGGACATGTGTTCGGGAGACTTGATTATTGACAATGGGTAATCCATTGTCCTTGTGGTCTTATAAAAATCGACTGAAATCTGGTTTGTGATAAGGATTATTCACTGGATTTTGCAGCTTTCAGCATTATACAGAATACTATGAAAATGCGTTACATACAGAATGCATAAACCAGGGATCTCACAGCTCAGTTCCTGGATGGCTCCGTGTCTTCAGGCTTTTGTTCCACCCACATTTTTAGTTTGGTAGTTGGACTAATTATTTAATTAGCTGCATTATTGTAATACACCTACCCAGGCTCTGAGGTGATTTATTGGTAACTGTACCTTCAATGAAGTGAATGTCTTGTGATCAACTATAAAACACCTTAAAAATCCTATATATGTCAAATTTAAGAAATAATTAGGTTAATTGTTTGATTGAATACATAATGTAGGTTGGAACAAAATTCAGAAGGCACAAGGTGCTCCATGAATGGAATTTGAGACCCCTCCCATAGACAATTAATTCACATTTTAATCCAGCAGTTTGGGTAATCCAGTAATCCTAGGCATCAATCAGTCTCCATTCCATCTTTCTGAAGCATCTTTAGCATAATCTTGTCTTAGTCCATTGACTAAACTCTTAGTTTGCTGTATTTACCATGAGGAACGAACAGCTTTGGCTCCTCAGGGTAAATGGAGCACAGTTTGAGATTAGTCTCCCAGCGCCGGCTATGAACAGGCTGTTTGATGGCCTGTGCTGCAGTTTGAACTGGGCTCCTGTGCTCTTGTCAGGTGAGCTACATGGAGATCTACTGCGAGCGTGTGCGGGACCTGCTGAACCCCAAGAACAAGGGCAACCTCCGGGTGCGAGAGCACCCCCTGATGGGCCCGTATGTGGAGGACTTGTCCAAACTGGCTGTCACCTCGTATAATGACATCCAGGACCTCATGGACTCTGGAAACAAGGCCAGGTAAGAAAAGGCCAGGAGAGCTGAGCACCAATATTCCTTGTGCTGAATTTAGGATGGCTGCCCTCTCTTTATTAAATTGCTAACGTGCTTTTCATGGGCACACCACACACCTGCATACAATAAATACTGTATATATCTGTCCTTTGGTTAATCTCCTGTTGAAAAAAGAAAAAAGATCCTGGATTTTCCATGAGCTCATGTTAATGATCAAGATGATTTCTCTTCCCAAGTATGATCCATGTTTTTGCCCCACATGAAAATCTTTCTGTATGTAATGTAATTATCTATGATGCTTGAGTCGCCTATACATGTTTGTCAGTGCAGTAGCTCAGTGAGCTGGTTATTAAGCCTCAACAGTAGTAATCAACAGTTATACGACAGAAGTGCAGTGCTTTTAGGCTGGTAGAATAGTCAATTAAATAGCTCAGTTTTTCATCTTACTTATTATTTAGCTTATTGTAATTGGCACGGGGAACTCCAAGAATATATTATTGATTTATGACGTCCACACAGCTCGATTAACAAGATTACAGGGTGTGTGACTAATTTGCATTTAATCGAAGCAGGTGTTTTATCAACAATAAATTAGAAATCATCACATTAGACTAACACCTTTTGTGCAATCAGATGCTTTTATGATATGCAATAAGAGACCAGTTGGAAAGCCTCTTAGAAAGCAATTCACTTCAAAATAAGGAGGGCATTACACTAAGGAACAGGATTAATTAATCAGCACAATTACATGTTTTCATTTGAACAACATTATAAATGATAATAAATTGGACTGTTCTTTGTTTTGTTTTGAATTCTTTCTCAAAGCTGCAATCATCTGAGTACATTGCAAGCCTGACGTACACTATCATTGAATCTGCTTGTTCAGGTTGCCAACAAGCTCTTTGCTTAACACACAGTGATCTCTGTCCTCAGGACTGTTGCTGCAACTAACATGAATGAGACCAGCAGTCGCTCCCACGCTGTGTTCAACATCATCTTCACCCAGAAGCGGCACGATGCTGAGACTGATAACACCTCGGAGAAGGTAAGGTGCCAGAACCAAAGAGCTAATCTTTTCACAAGTAATTCTCGTTATGATAATGAATTGAAATATGAGAAAACATAAATTCCCATTAAATAAACACTCTAGATAACAATGGTTGGATTAAATGTACTTAACACTCTTTTTGATTTGTGAGTAGGTCCTGTCATCTAGGCATTTTAGCTGAGACCAGTACTTTATGGTCCTGTTTTCATTTTTACAAGGTAGGAATGTAGGGGAAGAAGATATCTGAGATGTTTATTCTTTATTTTGTGCTTTTCTGCTTAAAGAATAAAATACTGTATATAACAGTGCAATAATGAGTTATGTGTTTAAGAGGCATTGATAGACACCCCAAATTACAAATACTGTATATCACAGACAAAGAATTTTGTATATATGTGTCATAAATGTAATGGCAAATCAACTTAGTATATTGTGGGTTTTCCAAATAAACTACACTAGAGAGGGTACCTTCGTGCTATAAATAAATGAACAAATAAATGGTACTCTTCCAACAAGCCTATTTTTCAGGCAATAATCAACAGAAGGGTTTCCATTAAGAGATTCGGTATGCACTGAACACCTGCTCCATGACATAACAAATAAGTTTCAGCTATAAAGAACACTGAGTGATTTGTCAGCTACTGTCATCAGGTGAAGCCTTCCCGTGTGTCATGACTGTGGAGGAGGTCCTGAGGGATGAAAAATGAATAGCCAAAATTAAACCCACTGACAATACCATGACTCTTTTTTTTACTTATGCAAGCAATACAACCGATTGCTTATACCAGTTTCACCCCCAATTACTTGATTTAAATTATTTCTGGCATAACACCCTCATTCTTTTCTGTTTATTTAGAAAGTGCATTTCTTTTTAAATTTATCTGACCTTATTTTACAAACAAAAAGAACCAGAGGTGAATGTGAGAGTGGACAGCACAAACACTGTTTCAGCTGCTATTAATGTTACGTTTGACTGAGTGAGCTCGATCGTTTTTTTTTAATTAACTGCTCAGTCTGTCCTAAGCAGTGAGTGTGAAACATTTGCATCCTTGTGATGTAAAACTGAATTTGTATCAGACTTCCTATACCAGCAGAACCCCAGAATGCTGGCTTACAGTATGTCTTTTAATGAGGCCCATGCACTGTTCAGTGGTACATGTTGGAGAAAATACCGTGCCAGCCCACACATCATGCTGACAGAAGAGCACTTGGGTTTGTCAACTGTCAGGGAAACCTATTATTTTTTGCTATTTCTTTGCAGAAACAAATCTCAATGTCCTTACTTCCCAAGCTTTTTTTCAGGAATGTACAGTAGATAATTATCTAGTTGTAAGTATTCAGAGGTTATACAGTATATAAATATTTCACCTGTATAAGCATGGGATATAATACTGGTAATACACTGATGAGGAAGATAATTTGACAGCCTTGTACTGTAGCTACAGCTGAGAGATTTCTCAGTATAGTGGAGTTCAGACTGGAGAATGATTTTAATCACTGATCTTGACAAAGAATTGTGAATGAAATGTGATTAGCACAATTGCAGTCTTGTCTTTCTAACATTTAGAAATCATAATTTTTAATTATTTACTAGCTCAATTAATTCATTGATTATTTGTTACGCGGAGGTGGTCATGGTGTTATTTCACTTACAAATTCAAGTGAAGACCTTCCATGTCATTTATCCAGGACAGCTGGTGGCACAAATACTCTTGGCATTCACAGCTGAGATAGAACTGACCTTTGGACACTTGCCTGTGCAAATCACTCTGCTGCTGTCTCCAGTTCTAGGCTGCATCTACTAATAGAGTGATAGACAATGAGATCTAAAATATTGAAATGTTTTCTAGCTCTCCTTGTATCTTAACATTTTGAAGAGTCAGGAAGTAACCAGCTGACACACTTATGTTGTAGCTGGTGGTTGGCCATCACTGGTCAACTTAATTGATCAGCATTGGAGAGCTTTGAACAATTCCTGGATGACTCCTCAAGAGACACAGGAGTTTCTGGATGTCATTTCATCTTTGTTCTTTCTTACTCGATTCACTGATTCTATTTTCCAAGTTATTAACAATTGAGGACAAAAGAACAAAAGACAACAAGATAACCTTCAGGACTAGAACTGGCCACCACTCTGTAAAGGGTATTTGTGGAAATGAACAGAGCTCTACATAGAGTTCTATACTCCAAATAGATAGTTGCTTTGTTGTTGTTTGTTTCGATTGTGTGAATTGACTAAACAATAAAAAATAAAGATCCACCTAAATTCAAATGTCTTTTCCATGTGTCAGAAAGAAAATCTTTAAAAAATAAATCCCCTAAAGATGTTGCAAATAGCATGTTGTTTCATCATTTATTTCCAGAGGTGAAATTGACTTCATTCTGTCTTTTCTTTTTGATAAAACACTTCAGGTGAGCAAAGTCAGTTTAGTTGACCTGGCTGGAAGTGAAAGAGCCGACTCCACAGGGGCCAAAGGAACCAGACTGAAGGTGCGTGTTGAGTTTTTGAACTGTTGAGAAAGCTTAAACAGCTCTGAAGGACGGGTTAGTGCTCTACAAGTCTTTCTGACTTGACCTCCCAGGTCAAATCTTGGCCTGGCGTAGGACGACTTTTTGAAGGATGGGTCACATCCCACTTGCGTTAAACTTGCCAGTTCTGATAGGAAGTGCTGTACTGGAGGCAGTGACCAACCTGTGTCAAAGTCACGCTATACAGCTGCTGTTCTAGTATCTGGTTGTGCTGCCTAGGCTCAAGCAGTGTCTCAGCACGGCTGAGAAGATGACTGAGGATTGACTATAAATTCTAAAACAAAAAGGAATAAAGTTCTAATTATATTCTTCTGCTGATGAATTCAATCATTTGTTTTAGCTTGAGCATTTTTTATCCTATTCCAGGAAGGTGCAAACATCAACAAATCATTGACCACATTAGGAAAGGTTATCTCTGCTTTGGCTGAAGTGGTGAGTTTCTCAAAGCCTTTTCTTTGTGGTTAAGTATAAAGTTGTGTGCTAATAAGGTGACTGAGTCCTATAAAATTGTGGCAAGAGAAAGAAGACATATAATATAATAATAAAATAATATGAACAGGCTTTTGACTAGCCAGGAATTGTATGTATTGTATAATGTCAAAGGCATTCACAAAATGTCTAAATCTCCAAGGCAATTTTTTAAAATATGTAGACACTTGCCTTCAGTAAGACAGTGTATGAGGTGCCTGTGAAATCTTAGTCCAAATTAGTCAGTGTTGATATTGAAACACTGTCTCCCTGCCTGCCAAATCTTCACAAGACATATTTTCTTTCCTGTGTTCTTCATTAGTGAATTGGAACTATAATAGCCTCATTATCTTAATTGACTTAAAATGTGATTTAGATGTGATTTGGTACACTGGCCTTTAGCTAAAAGGTTGAATTAACCTTTGAAAAAGGTTGAATTAAACAAACAGGGTTATTTATTGTAGAATGAAACTTTTATTTTTTATGCTATGAGTATTACAAATGTATCTGAATAATTCTAAGCACTCATTATTTTCGTTTATTTTTAGGACTCTGGTCCAAACAAGGTAAGATGTTTTTATTCAAAATTGTGAAAGAGAAATAAAAAACACTTTTCATATTGAAATGCTTTTACCTTTTATTTACCTTATAGTTTAAAAAGTAATTCCTCATTTTCTTAATTACCAGTACAAATTGGATAACAACTGAGTACAATTTTACTGCAATTCAAGTTTCGTTTTTTACTAATCCTGTGTACATATTTCATTTTTTACTAATCCTGTGTACATATTATTTCCTACGGCAGAACAAGAAAAAGAAGAAAGTTGAAAGCTTTATTCCTTACAGAGATTCTGTGTTAACTTGGCTTTTGAGAGAAAATCTGGGTAAGTTTACTTCTTTCAGGTAGATATTTGACCTTTGTAGAGTCTGTTTTATGACAGGCCATTTTTCACCTGAGGAGGGAGGGACTGCAGTCTTGTAACTCAGAATACAGTTCAGGTAGCACGACACCTAGTGAGAGCCTAGCGAGAATGGGATCCTGCTTCCAGTAAAAGCACTGCATTTTTCCTTACTTACCTGAGCCTATTACTGAACTGATCCGTTATTAACGAGAAACATTGTACTGGCTTCACTACCAGAGACCTCAATCTTAGAATCATCAGCTGTTTAGAAACTAGAAAAAGATACCATCAGCTCATTATTCAAATCATGAATTTAAACAAGGTTTTAACTGGGTGAGAGAGAGCTCTGTTGCAGCAGAAAACAGTAGATACTGGGAACACAAAGGCTAGGGATGGGAATTGCAGCTACAGTATAGAGACCCGTGACTGACTTGTAGTGGCCAACCACAGCCTGCTGGCCCTGTCTGACACCATTCCCCCCTCTCTCAGGTGGGAACTCCCGCACTGCAATGGTGGCAGCCCTCAGCCCAGCGGACATCAACTATGACGAGACCCTCAGCACCCTCAGGTAAGGACTGCTTGCATATGGCAGCCCTGCATTGGTGAATCTCACAGAACTGCTCCTCTCTCATTCACTGCAGCTTTCCTCAACAGTCAAGAAAATGACAAGAGACCTGCTTTCAATTCTTCCGAAACATTTTTGCCTTTGTGCTAATTTTCTGAAGCTGAATGCAAGCTGTGGAAATGTTAAGGATTGCATACATTTATAGAATCTGATTGATCTGTTTAATGCTCCTTTGATTTGTAATATTACAGCTTACACAGCCTTCAGACACTGATGTCTTTACATAATTCAGTGGTACATTAAGCTTCATTACTTCATGTAAAAATCAACTGTTTAGCCATATTTCTTCTTGTTCTATAAACAAAATAAAATCTACTTGGTTCTCTACAAAGTTGTTATGTTAACGCCCTGTAAACCACAATCCCTGTGTTCTGTGGCCCGTAGGTATGCTGATCGGGCCAAGCAGATTCGCTGCAATGCTGTCATCAACGAAGATCCCAACAACAGGCTGGTCCGCGAGCTGAAAGAGGAAGTATCGCGACTGAAAGACCTGCTGTACGCCCAAGGCCTTGGGGACATCATCGAGAGTAAGAGAAACTCGGCTGTGTACGGACTGTGTGAAACTCCAGGGTTTTGCCCGGCGACACTCCTTTGCATGCACATAAAGGATACTCTTCATCAGGGTCATACTCGCCTGGCAGACGGACACACATTCACATCTGCCTTATTTAATGCGTTTAAGATTTACTGGGCTGTGGAAGATCAAGTTGTTTTTCATGTGAAAAAATAATTGGCAGAGGAATCTGGCGGTGAAGCCAGTTGTGATTGTGGAACAGAGTCAGTTGTGAAGTTGTGGGGTGATCGACGTGTAAAGGTTGGGTGAGGGGCGCTTGTGCGTTTTCAGGTTACGAGAAGGGTGGGACCTGCTTTCTGGTTTTCTTTGGGCTGGGGGAACCTGGACTCTCCAAACATCTGCGCCCATGTACAGCAATGGCTGTACCTGCTGCTGCTCTGGCACTGAGCCGATTCGTAAGAAATGTATGAGAGGGACCATTATTTACGAAGGAATGGTCGGTATGCCTGTGCTCAGAGAAAAAATATGATACATGTTTGTGGATGCTCATCTTAAACCTCACAACCGACATGACCTGAGTCTTTTTCAATCATTGCAGAAAATGTTACTTAACCTTTCATATAAGTCATAAGTCTTAATGTGCTCTCTTCTTCCTGTCTCTCTTTCTTAGCATATCGGGGTCCAGGCACCGAGATCGCGGGTTTGAAACGTGTGTATCTCAGTGCTCCTATGCTTTGAAGCTTAATAGACGTAGCAGGACTGTCTGCAGCACCAGAGGAACAGTGTAGAAAGTGGTCTTTCTCTCTGTATAGATTGATATTTCAGTTCTTTTGCAACTCTTAACCATAATGCCTTCTTTCATGCTTTATTTTACAAATATTATTTGAATTTAATTTATTTTAATCTATGACAGAATGCTTTCACTGGTAAATACATGCATTTCCCTCTCTTTCTACTTTATGTACAGTATACAGTAAAACTTTGACAATCTGGTCAGGAAAAAGTAGACACCTAACACTTTAAAATGTTTCTAAAATAGAGAGAGTGAGTGAGCTGGGGTATCTTCAGAAACTGTATATGAATGTTTACCCATGGATCTGGGAGGTTTTAATAAGACCCGATTGTTGTCCAGGTGACACCTGAGCTCCTGCATTTCTAATCCTGTTCACAGCGACAGAGCGTGAGAGCATGTGTCCTCCGAGACATGTAAGACTCTTGAGCTGTCTTATTTCTAATAAGGAGTGCAGCGGGGAGTCTGATTCCAGATTTGGGTACATACTGTAAAAGGGTAAAATGATGAATTATTTAATTTTAGAAATATAGTTCCAAATCTTAAAAGTCCTTTTTTGATAACTTGAAAATAAATAAGACAAAGGTTAATTATCCAATTCATTTTTTACCATATATAAGAGCGAGGAGGTATAGCCACTCATTGCTCTAATGTACAAAAAAAAGATTTTGTTACTGTAGCAAAATCAAATGAATCACTTTTCCAAGTATACAGTATATATATATAGAAATTAACATCTGACAAAAATGAAAAGCTATAACAGGTAGGGTCCTTTCTTTTTTGGGGGGTTAAATTCCTTTATGTGAAATCTTACTTTTCCTTAAAGATTATTTTATAAACCATTGCAATGATGCAGTCAAGCATTTGTCCCTAATGCTTGACTGTTGTGAGGGTGCAGACCAGTGTTAGTTAGTTTGTGAAACGAGGTTGTTCCAGCAGGTAAGAGATATATTTCAGTAAATATAGTCCTGTTAGGCAGCCAGAGTCGGTGAGCTCTGGTGCTGCAGAGCAGCTGTCCTGCCCATGTGGCCCATGTGCTGTGGCCCATGTGCTCAGGAGGCCTTGTGCGTTGGCTGCAGTGCTTTCGCCGTTTCCCCCACCTTTTAACAGTGAACAATAAAGCAGAAAAAACAGAGTGTTGTTCCCCAGGTCTAAGGTTTTTATGGTACTGCAATCTAAACCGCCAGGCTTGTTTATTTCCAAACAGAAAAAGCCACGTCCTGCAACAATATGCTTGGCTAGCCCATAGATCGGGAAAGATGCTTTTATAATCGTAAAAGACAATAAAAGCTATAACTTACTTCTTGTGACACCAGGCTGAGGTAATGCACCATATTCCTTTTTGCATCTTATCTTCACAGGTGCCAAGATACAGTAGACACATGGATCCCTTACCAAAGGTGCACATGCAAAACAATTGAAATAGAGGCTTTAGAGTTCTAGTCCATAAAATGATTGCAGTCTGAAATGAGTGCACTTTTCAGAGAAAATCTTTGTGCCCTCTTTGACTTCACTGTTTGGTATTACACCATTATGAATAGAAGCGTCAGTGTCTTGTCGTATTACGCACTTGCCTGGCAAATGAATGAGCTGTAATATCATGAGAATTGACTGAACCAAATTAGTTTGCTTAATCTGAAATTGCTTTTGTATGGTACAATACTAATTCTTTCTGTTTGATTAATGAGCCTTACAATTATGTATTACAATTATGTATTGAATGCTTTGTACCATATTTAATGTATTGAAAGAGTTTAAATTAGAATGCAGTACAAATGGGGCAACCACTGCTTTTTCTTCTTTTGTTGCTGAGGACTGACAGACCGGCATCTCAGTGGTCCTCCCTGATCTGCAGACCTGCTTCAGCTGGCTTTGATACCTCATGCCTGGCTTTAACTGGCAAACAGGAGGTTTCCATGGCTGCATGTAGGGCAGGGAGTGTAAACCCTGCTTTTTTTCTTGGCTTAAACCTTGTGTGCCCCTGGCACTGAAGCCCCTTTGCATTAAAACTAAAGGGCTGGGAGCCAGTGTAAAGAGTTGGGCTGATTAGTTCTGGGAAATGGTGCAGCACAAAACAGGGTAGAGTTATATGCTGAGGAACAGTTTAAATTAGATGACTGATGATAAGCATGGAATCCATTCAGACTCATATTCTCAGACTCCGAGGCTGAATTCAGTTTGCACCATCCATATCCACAGGGTGGAAATCTGTCACTTGTACAATTCTTACAACAGAGCCAGCATTGAGCTTTTACTTCATTTTTGGCACACCATGCCAATTCAAAATGCAAGACATGTAATGTGAGCCACATATTAGGCTTTTGTAAGGCAAGGTGTATCAACCATGATATATAGTGAAGAAAATGGATGATTGATGTTGCTTTGATCAGCACACAGTATATATAAAGTCACTCTGTACAAATGTTCTGTAGGAGACTGTTGTCATTCAGCAGTCATTTAGTATGTCTACATTTTGTCTTAAGACTCCTGATTGTGTGCCTTGGCTAGGTCAAAAAAATAATCAACACAACAGAAATTGTCTGAATGCAACTCAGTTTATTTGTCATATGTGCAAGTGAAATGAAATGCTTAAATGAAATGAACTCTAATGTATATATAATGTTTTAATTATTCTCAGGGGACAATGAAAATGACTTATCACCTGAAAGAGAGCAAGATAAAACTAGAAAACCTTAAGCAGATTTGAAGGCTTCTAAGCAGGTCTCTATCAACTGACTTTAGCAGTGCAATTGAACTGCGAGCAAAAAAAAAAGAAAACTTGAATGAATTATAAGCCTTTCATTGGACTTGAGCGTATGACAAATAAACTGAACTGTACGGATACCTGCCAAGCTTGGAGTTCTTTGGCCAAATGGTTTTTGAACAAGAACACTTAGCACTACTGGGCATATTGCCAAGGAAGAGAAGAGCTGTTCTGGGATTAAAAAGTGTCCCTGCAAGGTGTGAGTCCGAAGCAGGTTTTAGTGAGATGAAATCGGCCAAGTTTCATGTCAAGTAACGTTAGCGGTTCCTAAGATGGGGGTAGTTTGGAGTTTGAGGAAAACAGCAGTCAGGATATCATTTTGGTTTAAGCAGAAGGAGGGTTACCTGCTTTGGAGTTAATTTATCTAACAGATTTTGATGAATGTACAGGATGCATTTTTCCAAGAGAGCGATGACCCAGTTTAGCTATATAAAGAGACGCTGAAACCTGTGAAGTGCAGTCTGAAGCATTTCTCGGTGCAATGAAACATCCAAATTTTCAGGTAAATCAGTACAGCAGTTCTGTGGTTTTGGGATAAAAATAGTGGTTAGGTGGTCATTGTAGTTTATGCAGGAACTCTATTTTACCATTATATTAATCATTGTCATTACAGTGAGACAATATGCACCATGTTTGGAGTTAATATGACAAACAGCCAATGAGGAGTAGTTTGTGTAAGGCTGGTGATGAAAATTATTGCACCCACTTGTGAGGTGAAAATCAGGGGGAAGCTTTAGATTTTCATTTAATCTGTTTCCAAGGCAGCAGCATTTTGAATTTTCAGAACAAAATGGCTGTAATGTGGCCATCTTGGTATATGCAGGAATGACAATGTGTCCGATGCCAATGTTGATCAAGTTTGAATTCTGTCAGTGCAGGGGCTTGTAAGAAGGTTCTCAAATACCCAGGTCAGGAAACCATTACTTTGAATGGTGCATCTTTCATACTGTATCTGCTTAGGGTGATATTACTAGGCTAATCAGTCTTCAGAATTGGGAAGAAAAAAACATCTGTACAATCACTGTCAGAACATCCGAGAGATATGATATCTTATAGAAGGGAACGTTATGCTTTTCTTTGTTGTTATACTGCAGCAGTCTGACTGTAGCAGACAGGGGTTTGATGAGTTGTTTATTGGTTTGTGACTAGCTAATATGTTTTTGTTACATGCACAAAAACACAAAAACATTTAAAATATTTTGTCATATTATTATTGTATGATGAAACATTTTAAACATGATTTTACTTTAAATAATATTAACTGTTGTGATGAACAGCTTATTACTGTACATTAAACGTGTTACATTTCCGTCTGAATCCACAGATGGTATTTTTTTCCCCTAAATTGATTTTTATAATGTTCTGTTAAAGTGTCCCTTTTTGAAGCTGCTGAGCTTCCTTTGCTTTTAACTGCAATGTGATCCGAGCAATATAAGCTGAACGCTCTCTGGACTGGTGGTGCGGTTCATGATTGTGATTGTTAGAAATGAAAATAGCTTCTTTTCAGGCACCTCTGGGCATCAGTGTTTCAGTTAGAGCTAGGCTGAGTGTTACATAGTTGGACATTTGGATATCAATCCACAGCAGTGTTTTGTCTGTGCAGAAGAATCTTAAAATAACACTGCATCTCTAAGTCCTAAATCTATTTTGTAGCTCTATCCCAGTGTCTGATAGACATGATTTGATTTTTTGCAAATGTCAAAATGCATTAAATGCATCTGTGTTATACTGAGTCGCTCTGGGTCTACAGTATATAACCTGAGTTACAGGGCAAAAGGGTATATAATGGAATACAAATGGACCTTCTCTGGATAGACTTCTTATGGATGTTCTGGACATTTTCTAAAATGAGTTTTACCTTTTGTTGTTTATCATAACAGAAGCTGGTGTTGTGTACAGTGACAAGATATTTTATTCTTTAAAAGCTAAATTAGAGTTTTGCCCATCTGATCTAATTGACAGGCTTTTGTACAGGGAGAACGTTGGAATAAATCCCTGATTTTAGGAAATAAAAATATCAACAGTGAAAAAGAATTCAGTGCTTAATTCAATAAGGAAGATGGTAGGATTTATCAGATTCACCTTGATTTATGACCACTCATATTTTCAGCACCCTACTAACACTGTATTGAAAGCAGCATCAATGGATATTTTGCTAAAAAGACCTAAATTTCCTTTGCTTTGTCATCCTTACTGCTGCCTGCTTTCACTGTCTCTTCCAAAGTGTTCGTGAATGACTCTCTAAAAGTCCACAGTGGATTTAAGTAGAGTTTCTCTTTCTGGTTAGCATCTGTTAATTGACCTCTCGATTTTTTGCCTTGTTTTTGGGATTTATTTCTTGCCACCTGTCTTTTTTTCTTTTTTTTTCTTCTCTTTCCTTTCCCCCTCTTTTCTCTGGAATCTTTCCGTTTCTCTCGCCTCCCCCACCTCCCTGGCTTCCCCCACTCCCATCCGAACCCCCCCCCCCACTCCCCATTCCCCTGACAGACTTATCCGATTTCAAGAACAATAACAATAATCGCCAAGCTGTCAATCAAAGGGGTGATCTCTCCACAGTGACCAATGCCATGACGGGGATGAGTCCCTCCCCCTCTCTCTCCGCCCTGTCCAGCCGAGCTGGCTCCATCAACAGCCTGCACGACCGCATCATGTTCAGCCCGGGTAGCGAGGAGGCCATCGAGAGGCTCAAGGTCAGTTTCAGAGGGCTTCCGACAGAGGGTGCCCATGTCGGTCTTTTAAACCGTTGAATTGATTTTCACACCCTCCGATTTTTCCATTTTTTTCCCTGGGTGTTCACTTTTTAGAAGGTTTGCTTTTTAAAGTAAGCCCTTGCCTTGAATTTTGGGCAGCCCCACGAGACGACAGTACACCGGGAGCTGGAGGTTAAGAAGTCGATTCAGTTGTTCGGTCTGTTTGAATCCCTTCTCCTAACTCAAGTTCACACGTTCAGGGGGAAATATAGACGAAACGTTCAAAGGGAAAGGTTGCAATGTCTCAATCTCATACAATCCTGTGGTAAGTATGCGTCAGGTTAACTGTCCCTGCCAGGCTGGTAGGGGCGGCAAGGACAGAGGCAGTCTTCCAATGAAGGAGAAGGATTCAGGCCAAACAGCAAGGACACGAATCAGTGAGCGCCAATTAGCGTAGTGTTGTACCGAGAACATAGGTGAAAGTGCGTTTGCAGAGCAGGTTTGCAAAAAACATATGAGAGTCATTGTATGTGTACAGCATGTGCTACCTTTAGGAGTCATGAAGAATAACCATCTTACTTTGTGGGGTTTTGTTGTATTTTTTATGGCTCCTCATTGACTCCTGTTCTGTTCTTCTTCTTTAATCCTCAAGTGTTCTTTGGAGTCTTTGTATGCAGAACATAAATGAATCATTATACTGTACTTCATATGCTCTTGAGATGAACACTAATGAACATTAAAGTAATTATTCATCCACAAAGCATGCATATATCTTACAGCGGTTCCATCAACAGCCCGCAGATAGTAAAAACCTTATCAGACAGAAATCGGTTCATTGCTTGCCTTTTTTTATTAACATCAAAAGCAGGACTGTATCATGGGTATTGCATTAGGAATCACATGAGGTACCCTTCTGTGCCAGCATTGTGGACTTTGATCTCTTCTCGATGTAAGAGGCCGTTCTTGTTCCATCAGGAAACTGAGAAAATCATTGCTGAGCTCAATGAAACTTGGGAAGAGAAGCTGCGTCGGACAGAAGCTATTCGAATGGAGAGGTGAGGCGGTCCTACACAGATCTGAGCAAGAAAATCCCCCTGTAGAGAAACTGCTGCTAGCCTTCTGTTGTGTAAGACGTCTTCCTCTTTAGGTGGCTTCTTACACATAGGCAAACAAACAAATTTGTTTAGTGATTAAATTCTGAGCTCCAGATTATTTGGTTTTGTACCAGGGCCCCTTTGTAAGCCTTCAACACCGATTTGCACTCCACTAACAGTGATCATTTCTGTGATGTGCAGTACTGCTGAAAACTTTCTTGCTCTGACAAAAGCAGGGACTGCATTTGTTGTGGGAGCTGATCCACTTACATCCTGAACAAAAAACATTGGTCCTGGGCCATTGAGTGTCTAGCTGGCAAACAACTAAGATGGGCTGTGTGACCCCTTGTTTGTAATGTGACCCAGACCTTTTCCAGGTGCTTTTTGTACTGACAGTTAAAAATACCGACTTGTTCTTGTGGCAGTAGCTCAGTGCTATACCCTGAGTGACTGTTAAGCCGGTCATATGGTGACCATAGTCTGCAAATCTTATCAATTCAACCACCACCCAGTTTTTAGGTAAAAAAGGTGGTATTTCCCCTTTTATTGAAATCTGCATCATAAGCTTGTTGTGGGCCAGCTATCTTTTCCTTCTTGCAAGTGCTGTGGAGCTCAGTTTGCAAAATAATACATTTGCTGGATTCCTAACGGGGAGTGTTGATTTCACCAGAGAGGCTTTGCTGGCAGAGATGGGCGTGGCCATGCGGGAGGATGGTGGCACTGTGGGTGTGTTCTCCCCAAAGAAGGTAACAGCAAAATTCTCCCTTGCTTAGGATCTGTTTGTCTACGAGGGAATAAAGTTCCAAATATCATTTTCTGTGGTTTCTAAATATTATCTGCAGTATTCACAATGGACACAATGTGTAAAATATATTTAGCACCCCATTTACACTTCCTGACATGGCATACACACTAAATATCTGGTTGTATATTAAGACACAATTGCTTCCTCTGTCAGACCCATGTGAAATATTTAATGAGCCATATCACACTTGTACCAACAGCCTAAACAGAGGTGCCCAGAGTTATAGCTGCTCATTTTATTTTACCGGGGAACTCTAAAAACTCAGTACTTGGTGTTTATTGTGTGGGACAAAAAAAAGAAACAAGCACATAACAAAAGAAACAGATTTCTTTTTCATGGTGAATGTGCTTCTGTTTGAATAAGTGCAGTTTATCTCTCTGATGTGTACATGCAGTTCCAAACTTTACATTTAGTACATATGGTTTTAACATGTTAATCTATGTTTTACTTTTGTTATTCATATACAAGCATACTGTACATTTGTATTTGTACTTTCAACATGCCAGATACTGGTGTGTCTGCATTTTTAATACAATATTTAAGAATAAAGCAAGAATAAAGTTCTTTTTCCTATTGGTTTATTTTAAAGCCTGCACCGAGAAAACCTCAGCCAGTATTTATTGATACAGTTGGGCTGTTTTCCCCCAATGAGGTTTGTTACAATGAAACACTTTTCATTGCTCTCTCTGAGTGTACCACTTTATTTACTGTGAGTTTCCATTCAAATTCTCTTTCCAGCTGGCACCTTGCTTTCTATTTCAAACTATATACGTATATATATTCATTAAATATACAGAGAATGGTTTGTTCCATGAATTAAAGTTAATTAATGGACCCTAGTGGTTGTTCTGGTGCTAACCTTTCGGATGAGTTCAATGTATTGGAGGGTCAACACCAGCCTGTAGGACTAGGAAACTGTGGTATTATCATAGGGAATCTGCTCAATCACCTGCTGTCACTAAAGGGGTGCTGCCGACATGCCAGGTAAAAATAACACAGAAGAGTTGACAATAATTGTCACACAGAATGTGTTTATAGTCATTATTCTAGGCTGGTGCAGGAAGGGGGAGAACCACCGTATGCTCATAAATAATTAACTGATCCACACTGGGTGTTATCAAAGGAGGAAAATTACTGCTGAAAGGCCAATACAAAATGGTACTAGATGTGTTGAATTGCTTATGTCTTGAGGTTAAGCACTTTGTTTTACGTAAAAGTGCTTATGGTCTTGAGGTTAAAGCACCACTGAGATACTTTATCACCTGTACATTTCTGTATGGTCTGCTAAGGGCTGAAGGATCTTGCTAAATGTGGTGAAGGCAGTGTTGTGTTTAATTTAGAAGGCATTATAGAAGCAGAGTGAGAGATCATACTACATAAACAGGTTTTGATCTTATCTTATCTTATGGGAGTTTTCAGATTAAATGAACAGTTATAAAAGTCAACTGGTGCAAAGATGAACATTTAAAGAATAGAACATTAAAAGTATGTCCATAAAGTTTAATGCTTTAATGAGGACATCATGACAAGAAACAGTAAGGTTCCAAGAATTCAAACGACACGCTGATCTCCCCTTTGTCAGCAAGACTGTATGGCTTTGTTCCTTCACTCTCTCGTCTTACTCCCCTGTCCATCTCTGATTGGATTGCTGTGACCCTGGAATGCTGTTCTTGTTCCTGTCTTGATAACAATACTGGGAAACAAGATTTTTGTACTGCCATGTATTGCTTAAGAGAAGATATGTATTACAGTTTGGTAATCAGTTTCATTGCATTCCATAAGATTCTTATTATAGGCACAGGCATTTTAGCATATAGACTCTCATTCAAAATTGAGAAAGTGATTTTATAAAAGAGCTTTTTTAGGACCCCTCAATCACTATGTATATATCGATCTTCAACTTTCACAAAAGGAATAGATTCCATTTGTTGTTCTGTGATTTGGGATTCTTACCTGTGGAAATAAACAACATCACCTGTGTTTCAGACCCCTCACCTGGTGAACCTTAATGAAGATCCTCTTATGTCAGAGTGTCTTCTGTACTACATCAAAGATGGGATCACAAGGTAAGTTTTCTTGATTATCATACTGCATACCTGATACATTGACAGCTATTGGTAATTATCTTTCAACCTATCTTGTTATAACCCATTTTCAGCAAAACCCTGTTAAAGGAGAGTTTTTAAAATAAAGCCAGTTTACAAGAAACAACCAAATGAGCTGGATGGGCTGAGTGTGATTTTCAGCCTTTCTTCTGTAGTTTAAAAGTGGGCTTTTTCTGAAACCACATCGTTCCTCATTCCTCTGTTATTTGGACAGGGTGGGCCGTGAAGATGCTAGCAGCCGCCAAGACATTGTTCTGAGTGGGCACTTCATCAAAGATGAGCACTGCACCTTCACCAGTACTACCAACAACCTTGGAGAAGGTAGGATATCAGCGCAACAATGCATGACCATTCCATTGTTAGCAAATGAAATAAATCTCATAATTCCATGGGTGTCCAAACAAGCTTTCATAGGACATTAAGTAGCATGGTTTATGATTAGCTATGGAGAAGGCCCGATCTTTACTCATGAAGTTTTTCTTGTCAAATGTTTTTAAATGGTTGCTCATGACTGTCCTTTCTCTGGTCATAGTCGTGGTGATTCTCGAGCCTTGTGAGGAGTCAGAGACCTATGTCAATGGAAAGAGGGTCACTGAACCTACCATACTCCGATCAGGTTGGTGAATCTTTATTTTTCTGAAACCCTGTGAAGTTAACAGACTCTCCTGAACTATCTCTGAAACACTGGATTGTTGATCGCAGCTAATAACTTCCTTTCATTTCCCAATCCTGCAGGGAACCGTATAATCATGGGGAAGAGTCATGTCTTCCGCTTCAACCATCCAGAGCAGGCCAGGCAGGAGAGGGAACGCACTCCCTGCGCCGAGACCCCGGCTGAGCCTGTGGACTGGGCCTTTGCACAGAGAGAGCTGCTGGAGAAGCAGGGCATCGACATGAAACAGGAAATGGAACAGAGGTAATAGGACAGGGAATCGGAAGAATGTAAGGAGGGAAAGAAGGCGCTCAAAGGAGAAGAAAGAGGAAAGAGATCAGAGAAAAGATTGAAAGGAGAAAGAGGGAGAAGGATATGGTTCAAGGGAAGGATAAAGTTTATCTATAGAGAAGGGAGGGTCAAGGTTTGCTAGAGTTGGAAGAGCAAGCTGGCCACTTTGCAAGGTTTCTTAGTGCAGACATTGGTGGCCAGCCCTGCACTGGTTATTACAGTATCAGCACAGAGGCTGAATTTTGGGAAAGTGACTGAATTAGATCTCAGTAGCTGTTAGAACAAGAATGTCCTCTGAGGTGATTCTCTGTCAATGTCTCCTCAGGCTGCAGGAGCTGGAGGACCAGTATCGCAGGGAGCGAGAGGAAGCCAACAACCTCCTGGAGCAGCAGAGACTGGTAAGGATCTCTGGAATATCAAACTGATTAATTCTGTTCTACCTGTCCGATAAGGCAGACATGAGCAATGTGAGACCTGATCTGATACATACAGTATACAGTATGTGCCAAATGGAAATTTTAAAAGCAAAGCAGGTCACGGTAATGATTGTGATTTCATCACTCAGGATTATGAAAGTAAGCTGGAGGCCCTTCAGAAGCAGGTGGACTCCTGCTGTTACCCCCTGGAGACCACTGAGGAGGAGGAAGAGCCAGAAGAGGAAGGTAAGAGAGCACATACAGTCTTACCATGCAGACAACCAGCAATTCATGGACCTATGAATGTGTAGACCAAGATACCGAAGGTCATAGCCTGATGCTTTGTCCATCTTTGCATTGCCAAGAAGATTAGGTTCATCAATGTGCAGGGAACTATGTGTGAAAATAAGCTTGTAGAGAAGATGGAAATAAAAAAAAAGCTTTCAAATTATGATACAGGTTTTATTGAAAAATCCTGAAGGAGTTTGAATTGAAATACTTTATGGCCAGTAGTTGCTGGTGGGTGCTGGAAAAGCTGTGACTGCTGTGCGGTCTTGCCTGCAGTGCAATGGACAGAGCGAGAGATGGAGTTGGCGCTGTGGGCTTTCCGCAAATGGAGGTGCTACCAGTTCACATCCCTGAGGGACCTTCTCTGGGGCAATGCCATTTTCCTAAAGGAGGCCAACGCCATCAGCGTGGAACTGAAGAAAAAGGTGAGCCCAGGGCCACGTTCGTAGGGAACGCATGAAGATTTGTCCTCATCCCATCTCCTATCTGTATGCTGATGAAAAACATAAATTGCTGTTGCAGTGAAGTTAAACGTTTTAGGCTAAATGGTAATGGTGTACATCCCTAAAATTCCTAATTTAAAACATGAAGCCCTTTTAATGTAAGGGCTTGATCAGTAAAAGAATCTGCGTGAACTAAATATTTGTGGGCCACTTAAGGGGATCGTTGACGAACTCATATAAGCAATATTTAATTGAATGTCCCGGATGACTCGTTTGGAAATTGAGCAGTCTTGAACAGATTTGTATTGCACGTGTTGAGCAAACAAAAGATTTTTGTCCTTTTTTTTAATATCCTAATCCTTACATTTCATTTGTCAAACAGGTTCAGTTCCAATTTGTGCTTCTGACCGACACCCTGTACTCGCCACTCCCGCCTGACCTCCTGCCCCCCGACGCAGCCAAAGACCGGGAGAAGCGGCCCTTTCCGCGCACCATTGTGGCTGTGGAGGTTCAGGACCAGAAGAACGGGGCGACTCACTACTGGACTCTGGACAAACTCAGGTAAAAGACTCTCTTTTCATATGGTCATTTTACGGATGGTTTATGAATTCATAATATGTGTTTGTCCCCACAAACAAAGGCAAACAAATAACCAGCTGTTGGAGAAGTAACCTAACAAACGTTGCTTATTAGCTAAGAAACTACAGATATTGAAAATTCCTCAGTTTAATGCAGAGCCTCATCGAACATTACTCTGATGCCCTAGAAAGAAGCTGGCTCAGGTTATGCTCTAAAGTACATAAGAAAGAGAAATACATTTAGCCAGGATGTGGAGAGATATTTGGTTTTAGTTCTCTAGGGATGCAACGTGTGAGATGAGTTGAATCAGTGACAGAAACGCACTATCCCCCACGGTGTCCTGAATTACAGCAGTGTTATAGAGAGTTTTATCACCTGTATACAGCCATGGTCATTCTAATTTATGACCACAAATGGATGCTTATGAGGGACTTACTGTATGTCCCACTTATGGCCCAGTGGCTATTCCTGATAATGTTATCCCTGCCTTTCAGCTATTCATACAACAGCAGGTGTGTTTAAAATTCACTCAAGCCAGGTCAGGAGTAGTGACTCCAGGCCAGAGTCAGAGTTCTAAAATTCTATGTCGTCTCCTCTTTGGCCTTGACTTTCTTAAGTCCCATGCCAAGTCCCAAGAAAACTGTTGGGTTTAGACTTTGTGACATCTTAAATAAGGAGCAACGTGTTTCCTTAACAAATTTGACATTAAAACATTGATGCAGAGCACAATAGTGACACCGGGCTTCTCTTCTCAAGAACTAAACTTGATACTTTCTTCCAGATCATGAACAGCCAACCCCATAAGATCCTGTTCTGTTATTTTATACGTGTTTGCCTGTAGGCAGAGGCTTGACCTGATGCGGGAGATGTATGACCATGCAGCCGAGGTGCCCACCAGTGCCATTGAAGACTGTGATAATGTCCTGACAGGCGGAGATCCTTTCTATGACAGATTCCCCTGGTTCCGTCTGGTGGGCAGGTGAGTGCCGTCGCAGGGGACAGAGGCCTGCAGGGACACTGCCACATCGTAACAGTCATACTGGAATGGCTTCCTTTGGTGGCGTTTTAGCAATTTTAGCAAACCTCGTCTAGAAAAAAACAAAGCAATTCCACATCGATTTCAAATATACAGCATGAATAACTCCTTAACTCGATTTGGTGCTGTTTTTTGTACTTCCAATGTGCCTTTAAATGTGATTCACTCTAATTTGCACTAATAAAGCCCTTTTGCCAGCTAACCTGAGACACAAGAATGTTGAAGAGAAGAGAAAAGGTGACATTTTTCAAGTCACACAGAAGCAGAAAGCACCCAACTCAATGTCCTCAAAATGATTAGGAAGGTTTTATTTGTCAAAGAAGAAAATACTGTTGTCTCAGCCGTACTGAACATTCTGAGAAAGAAGATGAAGGGGTTGAGTGGTTTTGTTGGCACAAACCTTTTCTACAGCCACTTCGGCAATATATTTGAGCTAGATTTTCACATCACTAAACATAGTTTACTGACAAGATCTGCACGCTACGATGAAGGCATATACATATTTCATGATCACTGCTCTCTTTCAGCAGTGAACGTATTACCTGTGGGAAATTCACAATTCCACAGAAAGATATTTTTTGGGGGAGACTGTTCTTGCTCATTCTAACACCCTAAAGATTTTCTGAGAGGCTGGGGAGTGCATTCTATCAATCTGTTAATATTGTGACTTGTGATGCTGTGCATTTACAGCATGGTTTTCAAAAGGTAATAAATGGCTTTATTTTGTTTGCCTGTAATCAAACACCAATTACTCAATGCATCATACACATCATTGACAATCTTCCAGTTTTTTTTACAGTATTCTTAAAGTAGCTAAGACGATCTCACATAGCTTCCTTTTGAAAATCATGCTGTAGCTGTGAATTCACCAAATCAAGTAGAGAAAAAAACAAAACAAATACTGCCTATTGATCAGCATGTCCATCGTTAACCTTTTATCTTTCCCCCTTATGATACATGGGATAAAACAGTGCCTTGTATTTCTGTGATCATCTGATTTTCAAGATTAAGACATAGTATTCTTAAAACTCTCCTCTTGCAGCTTTCCATCTACGGCTGGCCACAGCACCGTCCTTTTAGCAGTGTGAGAAGAAGTTCAAACATTAGTTGTGCTACTCAACACCAGGCACTGTGGTGGAAATGGTCTTTCAATGAGACAGAGAGGCCTGGTCCTGGGACTCACACTCCTGCTGGGCTTTGTTTTCAGCACTCTTAGCTCTGTAATTGAACTCTTAACTGACCTAATAACAGGACGTATTATGAAGTGTTTAATGGTTTTCAGTTCCTAAATATGTTAGAGGGCGCCTTTTCACCCTTATTTTCATCAATAACTTGCAAAGGAACGCTTAAAGTTTCGATTAAGCATCTTGTTAGTTCAATTACGAATTTAATTAAAGAGCTCAGTTTGAACCAAAAACCTGCAAGTGCGTGTGGAACCCAGAACCCAAAATATACATGTTAAATAAACTCATTTATAGCTTGCAGTAACTGACGTGGCTTTTCTGCACTGTTTCTGTGAGGAATTGAATGGAATATTCAAAAAGGCATCATTGAACCAATTTGTTTTATGTGAAATTGTAATTATTATATGAAATGACAGGTGTGACTACAGCAAAATCCCAGGCCTTTAAGCTGCTTGTCACGAAAATGTAGAATTCTAATGGTATCAAAGCCATCCACACTTGTATTTGGGTAAATTAATTCAAAAATAATTTTTAACAACAAAATATTTTCATGTTTCCTTCTCTGGCCTTAAGTGAATTAAAAAATCTGGATTCGAGTCCTACAGGCAAACATTAGACTGCAATGAAGGGCTGTGCTGTGGTCCTGCAAAGCTGGGCAGTAGAATTAATCTCTGTGTCTTTATCTTGTTGTACTAACCCAGTTCCCATGTCTCTGGCTGCACTAGCACCCCCATTTTCAACACATGCATGAGCGAGCGCATGACAGATCTCACCCCCTCCCCCACCCTCTCCAACCCCGACTCCGACATAACCGAGCTCGCAGATGAGCGGCATGATGGGAAGGTGGAGGAGGAGGAGGAGGAGGAGTTGGAGGACCTGGAAGATGAGATCTTTTTGGACGACCCATGTTCGGAGCTGGGGGGAGATGAGGGAGAGCACTGCCCAGGCTCCAGCGAAGGCCAGGACCCCTTTTACGACCGCTCGCCTCTATTCAGTGTAGTGGGAAGGTTGGTGAGGTTTCAGGAGCATGCTGAGAGAGGAAACTAGCTCTTTCACACTGAGAAGTCTGGCATCCCATGGCCACCCTATACACTTGAACCAAAGGGAAAACAGTAGTCCAGCTCTGATCAGAGCTACGTCCAGCCGGGATAGAGATTGTAGGAAAATCGTCAGATCATCCAGGATTTGTAATAGCACAGGTCAGATGATGGGCTTTTTCTCACGAATCGATTGAAATATGTTAAAATGTATAACACCGAAAAAGTAAACTTCTGATTGTCTAGACTAGGTAGAGGTTATGCAATATCTTTTCTGACAGTGGCTCATCACGGCAAACAATGACCAGATGAAGTTACTTTGCTAAAGGAATCTCTTTAAATAAAAGCAGTCTTTTCTTTACAAAGGGCTATTTCCCCAGTTTCCCGATAAATTGGTTTTCCAAAGTTTTGATCTCCTCAGTTTGGTTTTCTGATCTCAAAGGTAAAAGAGTTATATATATATTTATTTATATTAACAAGAAAATTGAGAAGTTACATCTCTGTGGTGGGATAACAAGATTTAAAAACTCAAATCTAGCAAAAAGCACGATGAAACTAGAGCACTACCTTGAGATGGCTGGGTTTATGTTGTCTTCATAATAACATAACATCTATTTCTTGTTTTAGGAGTATCAAGGGTCTTATTGCTAAGTATTAAATATAATACCTATGGATAATTGTTCCCTTTAACTATGGGACTGGATTAAATGTGTTACTCTTTTAACATCCTTAAAAAACTAATAACACAAAAGGAGAGTTAAGGTGGAATGGAAGTTAAGCTGCTCGAAACACCTGGTCACAGCTCTGATCACTACAGTATGTAAGGAAGGTACTGTGGGACAGGGTAATATACCCTTTGCAGGATTACACTCCTCATCACTTCCACTTGGACAAGTCTGATATAAATTTAAGTAGTCAAAATAACATTTTAGTGACGGAATCTGAGTAAGGTCATTTGGTCAAGGATACAGCACCACTCTGCCTGTCCTATGAACACACTTGTTTTTAGTTATACAGTATGTCCAGAATGCCTAACTCCTCTTTTAATTCCTCTAATCACCTTTCATGACTCCCATTTGTGCTTGTAGTTAGCTCTTAGGGTTCTTATGTACTATTCCAGCGATACTTTCCTTTCTCAGCTTTCTGAACCGGGCTGATTGAGTGAAATGAGGAGTTTCTAAGAGGAAGGCCTGGGAGCGAGGTGGTGGGACGGGTTCAGATTTCGCTCATACTTAGGAATTCTCTTTGCTCTTTCACTGCTCCAGAAAGAACAGGAAAGAATACAGAAAATTCATCCCGGTCTTTCACATAGAATAACTGCTTTACTCAATCTGCTTTTTGCACCCTCCTGAAAATGGAATTTTAGCAGGAATAGTCATGACAACCAGAAAGCCAAGTAGTGTGCCCAGCTCTCCACTACCCATAGAAGTTGGATGGTGGATGTCTGGGAACCCGCAAGCACCCTCAAGTCTCTGGATTCCTCATTTCAAACAGTAAAATAAAATTTGCAGAACAGGAAAAGGGCATTTGGTATCCCAGAGTTCACCTGGCCGTAGCTGGAGACAGACCTTCCTTTCTAATACCATAAACATGGATGGAGACTAAACTCAAAACAGAACAAAACAACACAGTGTAACAAGAGCCAGACACCTTTAATATACAAGAAAATACAAATTGTTTTTAATCCGTATTAGCTTGCAACAAAGTGTGCAAAAATTCTGATTACATTAAAATATATTACCAGATTGAAATACTATTTCCTGTCTAAAAAAAAACCCAACAACAAACTCTTCCACAACTCTGCCGGTCCAGAATCCCCTCTGCCCCTGTCGTGCCACTGCATGGCTTTCCTGAAGAAAGCTTGCAAAGGGGATTGACAATGACCAAACAGCTAGCAGTGACAGCAAAACTAGGCCTTGTTCTGTGGAATCCTTGTGATGGTGTGACCTTAGCATGCCAGATAACAGAACTTGATATGCAAGGATAAAACACCTGGGAGTTTTTATAGATTGATCTATAAAGTATTGCTAGTTACTGTGTGCCCTGAAAAGATTATTAAAACATTGTTTCATATTTATATCTACTTCTTGTCTTGTCAACTTCTGTTTATTGGATATGTGAATGTGTAGGTCAGTACAAGTTCCTTTGTGCATGTCAGTGCATGTGAGGCAGAACCTTATTTTTCTAATAATACGCAATGATAATCAATGGCAATTTCTCCTTCGTGACTGTTAAGCATAAAAGCAACATTTATTTCTGTCGTATTCTTAAAGTCCCAATCAATTGATTCACTGTTCATCAACACACCCTTCGTTTGTGCTGTGAGGCAAAGTAATCGCTAAGACAGACAAGCTGGATTTTCAGGATCTCAAGTTGAAAGAGCTGGTTTCTACTGCAGCTGTCTCTACTAGGCATGCCAGAGCACATTTCTTTTATTTTGAATTTTTTTCAAATTCTATATGGATATTTTTCATTTTGTTGAATTGGCTTCTCACACACACACATTTATGCACTTGCAGCAGCTGTGATTCTAGAATTGTGAAGTGTGCTTATTTTAATCCTCCCTCCCCTGTTTGGTTTTTAATTTCACGTATTATTAGCTGCTGGCTCTACTGGTTAAAGCTTAGCTACGTACTGTATTTTTTTTTGTTCTTTTGTTTGCTTTTAGTTTTTATTTTGGAGTCAACCAATCAAAAAGAGCTTTTGCGTTGACTGTTTATTCTGAGCATGCCGTTTTTGCACCTCACCAATCTTGTCGTAAGCTCCTCTCCTTTGGCCTCCCCTTTCCCCCCACCCTACCTCTGCCCTCTGCTGCAAAATGCGATGATCTTGAGAAGCAAAGTCCACACGGTGTGAACGTGGAAACAGTCGCGGTACCGGGGTCAACACAAACTAGGTGCCTTGTGCAAAATTGGCTCTAGGGACTCATGCTGAAAGGCTAGATCTATTCACAACACCGCCACGTTCATTTTTGATGTGGCGTCTAGGGGTGTCGTCTGTGCTGACCTGTTGCCATTTTGCACCCCCACCTCCGATATCACAGAGCAGGGTGTCTTTCAGATTGAACTGCACTTTTTTTTCCCCTTGATTGGATTGCAGAGTCGGCCATGTTTGGCAAGTACTGCTGTTGTCTTACTCACAGGCCTCACAAGCTCCTACTGTATATTGCTATAGAATGGGAGGGTTGAAGATACATCACACACATCCTCTCATCCTGAGTGCGTCAAATGACACCCAAATTCTATTTATTCATATGTTTATTAATAAATGTTTTCATATATATGTGTACGTGTGAAGTGTTTTTTCATGATCCTGTAAACAAGAGTTTTATAACAGTCCATGATATGTTTGATAGTGAGGTGAGACTATTACTATGTACCGGCGGAGGTGACCAGTTATAACCAATAGAGTTTTTGCTCCATTGATTTGTAAGATTATTGTGCTTCTCAAGGTCACTTGATCATCTTGCAGTGCTACTTGCTTTACCGTGACTGCACACTACATGACGCAGTAGACCGAACTGAGGGTTTTTCAGCCTAAAGGGCACTAGACTTCGCTACAGCACTGGTCACAGACAAGGGCAATCCAGAGATCTTAGTGTTGGCAGAACCGCGGCTCAGTAGACCTTTTCTTCATAAGATTCCAAAGATTTCAGAGTTACAAGTAGATTACCTATACACATTCCCTGTCATTGCTGAGAGATACTCAAGCTATCTTTCCTTGCTTATCTGATACTCCTGTCTGATCAATATTTCTCTCACTGTACAGTATGTGATTTATTACAGCTCAGGTTTGGAAGCAGGTCTGTGCTGTTTTCGCAATGACTATGTCAGGAGATTATCAGCCCTTGTGGTTTCTGTTGTTAATTTACGTGGCGGGACGTTTAAATTCATTTTTGGGGTGATGACATGGTCATCCACTTTGTTTAAAGGCTCTTTCTACTGTGAGTAATAATACAGTTGAACTTTTTTGATTTTAAAAAGATTGCTTTGATCCTTATCATTCAATGAAATGAAATGATCACAAATTTCCCCCTGTGCAGTTTCTAGTTCTCTAGTTTTCCAGCTGCATGATAAATTGTTAACAAGTCCTTTTTGATTTTTTTTAACAGATTAATGTTTTGTATAAATCTATGCTTGACAATTTTTTAAAAGAATATCAGATGATCAGGAGCTGGTCAAATTGATAAACCTGCTTAATACCTGTCATTTAAATGACAACAATATATAGTTTTATTTTAGCACAATATGATATACACAGAGTATTACTATCACTTACAAAGGTTTAACATCTACCCCTGCTGATAAAAGAAAAACAAAGTCATTTGATGTTTTATATTGTTTGTTATAGATGTTCTGGAGACATTCTTCTGTGCAGACGATCTTGATAATGTACTAAATGCCTTTCAACTATTTTGTTAAACAGTGGGATGCATTTCACGGTACATTCCATCACTTTGACTGACTGCTGAGAATAGAACTTTACCATGCAGAATACATCTTTCTGTCACGCTGAGCACCTGTTATTTTAGGCCATCAATATTTTGAGACTTGTTAACAATATATTGTTGAATATAACAGTGTAAAAACAACACTGTTAAAGTTTTATGATCATTTTATTTGATTACTTTAACATTTTTACATGAGAACTAGCTGATGAGTTTTAGTACAAAAGGTCTAAACCACATAAACAAACGTGAAAAATGTCTGAACATACTTTTACCTTTCTTTATTTATTTGGATAGACACAAGGAGGATTCTTACTGTATATACAGTAACCTCATACTGGTCAATTAGAGCTAATACAATGTATTTTGTCCTATAAATTATTAAAACAATTCTGTCTAGACCAAATGAATAATTTGCAGTAATTCAAATATTGATATAAGGCTACTTCTTGCCACATCTTAATGAGACAATAAAGGCAGATACAGTATTTCATCTTATATTTTCCAATCGGCTTCCTGGTCTGCTGAGAAGACCATTAAATAAGATGAGGTGATGTATATATTCTGCTTGTACATTATAATGTGAAACTCAAATGTCCTCTCGGTGTGCAGTCACGTGGCTGTAGGGTGGTGTAGCCAGTGGGACACTGCTGATTTAGAGATTACTGAAGCTCTCAGTCTAGGTTTTTTAATGCAGTGCATTTCCCACTGTAACCTCGAATGCTAAGCAAGGAGTTACAGCTAGTAAGTCTCTTTTGATCAGTTAATGACAGTGGATCATTATTAAACCTAGGTGCAGCCTCATATTAAGTAAAGTTGAACCAGTGATAGTTGATTCAGGTGGATTTAAAGGCAAATTATTTTCAAGGCTTAAACCTTTTTCCTTTGTGGTGGAGACGGTCAGTGAGGCCTGTTACATCGTGGTGAATTAGTGATGCACTTTCCTCAATCTGGCTGGTCTGGAGATAAATGCGAGGAACCGTACTCTGCACCCATGCTCCTTAGCCTCACCAAGCTGTGAAACACTGTCCCAAAAGCAGGGCACCTACCCCACTCCCACCCCGATCCACAGCCTTTGAAAATCTGGAAAATGAGAATGCAGAAATAACAACAACAACAACAGTAAAGGGCACCTTTGGCTATCGCTGGAGCAGACGCAGCTTCTGTTTGGTTGCTTTGCGGCTCGGTGTTGTGATGTCCAGTGCAGTGTGGTTGTGTGTTTGGAGGCTCCCTGACCACTTTGTGCTTTTTGTCTACCTTTCTCCTAACCCCCCAACCCCCCTTGCTCCGCTACCCTGCAGGGCCTTTGTGTATCTCAGTAACCTGCTGTACCCTGTGCCCCTGGTGCATCGCGTGGCTATCGTGAGCGAAAAGGGAGAGGTCAAGGGATTCCTGAGGGTAGCCGTTCAAGCCATTTCAGGTGAGCGCTCCTGAACTTGTGTATACTGTACATTGTGAGTCAGAGAATGGCAGTGGATTGCCATGTATTTTGTTGTAACTTATTATCATTGATAAGAAGTACCAAGCCTCTGTGGATTCAGTTTTTAGAGACAATTGATGTTGGCGGGGTTGTGTGATCACATACGAATCCTACTCCGCTGGGCCCCTGAGCAAGGCTGCTCCAGGGGGCTGTACAATGGCTGACCCTGCGTTCTGACCCTAAGCTTCTCTCCGTGTCTGTGTGCCTGTGTGTCTCATGGAGAGCAAGCTGGGGTATGCGAAAACAGAAATTCCTAATGCAAGAAATTGTATAGGGCTAATAAAAGTGATGATGATGCTAAACCTAGTATTGTAATTGTACCAGCTGTACTGTAACATTTAATGGACATGTTCTTCAATGGTTCCAAAATTACCTACAAGTGAAACTGTATTATTGACAAAATGAACATGCTCTGTGCTATGTGTTTCAAATACAGCTGATGAAGAAGCCCCAGACTATGGTTCTGGTGTGCGACAGTCAGGCACTGCCAAGATCTCCTTCGAAGACCAGCAGTTTGAGAAGGTGAGCTCTGGGATTAAGTATGGGTAACCATGTGACTCTGTATCAACTCAGACAAGGAAACGGAAATGCATTTCAACCGAGTGACATTCACGTTTAAATTAAGCATTGCAGTTCTCTAAATTCACAATTTTTACTTAGTCTCCATATAAATATGATAATAGGATCAATAGAAATAATAACACAAATGTATGAAAAAAAAGTTGATTTGATTGTGAGCGTTCATGTGAATGGAAAACTGTTGGTGCCTTACAGTTCTTGGGTCCTTACAGTTATTTTTAGCCTATGGCACATTCTGTGTGTAGTTTCCTACATTAATTTTCACCACTTACTCCATTTTCCTCCCACAATCCAAAGAAATCCTCTTTAGGTTTATTTAAAATTGAATTGTAATTAATTTCCTCCATATGGTGTGTCCTGCCCATTGCTTGTCTGGCTCAATGCTAACATGTATTAGACAAAAGTATTCTTGAAAGTGGATGCAAATACTCATATTTATTTCCTTGGTATTTTCCACTAATAAATATGTTGAAAAATGTCACTTTAGGTTTTTTATTGGTTTTTTTTTAGTTAATATTAAATTGAATATCAATTCACAGTCACTCTACAAGAAAATCAGCTGTTAACTGGTTCTGATCAAGGGCAATGAATGGCTTACCAGTATTATGTTACTGTCATTTACTGTCACATTCATTAAGAGATTAATCTCATCAGACTTGTAACACTCAATTTTCAAATTCATTTCTATTAGAAAGTTTAAAGGCAAAAAAATTAAGGACAATTTAAAAATCCTGTCTGAGAGTATCTTCAGGGAACACACAGGCAAATTATCATCCTACTGTATGTAATAAGGAGGTGTATGAATGGATAGTGTTAATTCACATTGGTGTATTTTGCACTAAGATCCTACTGTGCTTTCAGTTTGGGGAAAGTGAGAATGTTGAATGTGCAGTGTACAGTATTTATGCTATAAATGTGTAAATTCAAAGACAAGAACATATCTATGAGTAGCTGCCACTTAAATTCTGTATCTGCTATAAAACCGTTTGGTTGGACAGTTCCAGACGGAGTCCTGTCCAGTAGGAATGTCTCGCTCGGGGACGTCCCAGGAGGAGCTGAGGATTGTGGAAGGAGAGGGGCAGAATTCAGACTCAGGTCCCTCTGCAGATGAGGTCAACAACAACACATGTACAGGTGAGGATGATCAACCCACCTGCTGTTTGCAAGGAGCTCAGATATGGTTAGTGAGGTTTTCATGAAATAAATAAATCATAAGGACATCAAACTGGAAACTGGAAAAAGGAAATGAGAAAAATTAACTGCACTAAGGTTAGGCAAATAGACAACGAATCTTTACTTAAAATATTTATATAACAAACCAATTTTCAGATCCACCTGAAGGAAGTTTGGTTCAAAGGACTCTATGAGAATGGTTGGTATTTGGCTAGCATTTGGTTACATTAAATAGTCTTGTAGATTTGGTAGATTGTGATATTATTCATGTGGTTGTAAGAATTATATAATAATGTTTTAGTTTATAATCATGTTTTAATACTAAATCCTTTATTAATCCTTAATATACAATGAACATCCAACATGACACTCTCAGCTGTGTAATTTGATCACTGTATCACTGCAATATCCTGTGTTTGGTTTTAATTCTGCAAAACTAGTTTTCACAGTTTGCATGTTCTCTAGGTTTTGCCAGAAACACTAGCTAACGATTTTCTAAGTAGTCTGTTAATAGTTACTACACTATGCATTAATTCTATATTATACACTCATAAAAATAATTTATATTTATATAACTTTGATACTGAAGAGCTTTTGCAGTCAATATGTGAGCAGGCGTCATTCAGAAACACTGTGCAGCAAAGATCAGATATGCGTAGTCAGATGAATCACAAAATATGAAATTCAGAGGATCATGAAAACAACGTTTACACTTCATAAACACAGTGGCAGTGGCATTTATTATTAGATCCAATCCGATTTAGAAGCAACAGCTGACGTATGATGTATGATTGTGGTGCCATAAGAATAAGTAACTGGAGCACAGTGTATTTATCTTAAGCAGTGGGCAGCAGTGGGTAGTGAAGTGGTTTTAAGAGTAACGTGTCTGTTGGGCAGCACGATACCTTCATCCACGTGTGTTGGTATCTCAACAGCTAGCCCTGAGGACCTTGACAGCCCACTGAAAACCACCACAGACGGACAGCTGGAAGGGTCTCTGGAGCACCTGAGGATTGGCAGCGTGTTCACGTTCCGTGTGACCGTCCTGCAGGCCTCCAGCATTTCTGCAGAGTACGCAGACATCTTTTGTCAATTCAAGTAAGTTTAACTGCATTTACTCACTGTACTAACCTGGAGCCCCGCGATCGTGCTTCATTCTGCTGGGACAGGATGCCCTCATCCTTTGCCTTGTAGTGAAGATGTTGGGTGGGATGCGACAGCATTCCTCGTTTGAAGATTCATTTTTGCGGCACTTTTTTTAACGCCTGTCTCCAGATTCATGAAAAGTTTGGTGTTTGCAGCTTCATCCATCGTCATGACGAGGCCTTCTCTACGGAGCCACTCAAAAACACTGGGCGTGGGCCACCACTGGGTTTCTATCACGTGCAGAATGTGAGTACAGAAATAAAAAAGATTGGCCTGTTCTCACGACTGCTTCTGCAAGTACAGCTCTCTGTTCATAGATGTCAAGTACCAGCGGAGAGAAATGAATGTTTGCATGCTTGAGAAGATTATTCAATTACTTTCTCATTCTTCCTCCATCACACCATTTTTCCTGGGGTGCCCAGATGCCTCTAGTATTTTAAGTAGTAAATGTAAATTTCAAACTTCCTTTTTTGGATCTTTTGAGTTCCTTTTTCTGTTGTTTTTTTTTCCAGTGAATTAAGTCTTCTTTAAAAAGTCAGTTTACTCAGTGACGCTTTAAATACAATTGTCAACAATTTATGGTATCAAGATATTCATTCATCTAGTACTTAACTAGAACAACAGTAATACTCTTATGTGTTTATTGAATTGCAGAAGCAAGGTCATTCTTTCTTGTAATATACTCCAGATTGAATTTATTGACATTACAATTATAGCACCTATTTACAACAAGAAAGTTTCTCATATTCTCAAAAGAAGGCATTTTAAGCTATGACAAAATTCTTGTTACAGTGCTCATTGAACATGCATTTTTGTCTTGTGGCAGATTGCAGTGGAGGTGACCAAGTCCTTTGTGGAGTACATCAAGACCCAGCCTATTGTTTTTGAGGTGTTTGGACATTACCAGAAACAACCATTCCCACCACTCTGCAAAGATCTTATCAGGTAGGCACCCTGGATGTCAGGATGTCTTTTAGAAATCTCAGAAATGCATATTGCACAGTACCCACTGGAACAGCAAAAACTGTCAACCTCTTGCTGCCAGTTCGTAAAATAGATTCTCGGATAGTTTGATGGAGATTGTGTCTGCCGGCATTCCAGTTCAGCAGCTTTCCTAAAGCTTTGTAAAGGGTCACTTCGCTGTGCATTGTTAGAACTTACTTTCTTTTGTAATCAAATAGAATGCTTGAGGGTTGAAAGGAAATATAGCTGAGTACTTGTTGGCTTTAACATGCTGACTTCATTTTAATTCAGTAGCGGTATCTGTGGTTTCTTTTAAGAAACTTTAGATGCACAATCCCCACGATTTTTGTATGTTTTTTTTCAAAGCCCTCTGCGGCCCTCAAGAAGGCAGTTCCCCCGAGTGATGCCTTTGTCTAAACCAGGTAAGAAGTAGAAGATGAATCATTCATGCAGTGTGCTGATATGCTTTTTTCTAAGGCGTAAATCATTCTGGACAGTAGTAGGTAATACCCTGTGTTTGTAATGTGCATACTGTTTGCAAATCATTTTCCATTACCTGAATTAGCATAATGAATACACATTTTCTTTTAATTTTTAATCAATACATTATATGTAGCCCGACACCGTGTACCACTATTATTAGATATTTTACTGGGTTTCACCTCAGCATTGATTGCACAATTGCACAATTGTTGACCCACTTTATTTTAAGGGCTACCATCAAATAAGTAACCTTCCTTGTTGCTTTCCACAGTCACAAGAAGGGTACATATTGTAACTAAGTAAGGCAATTTTTAGTTTGGGGTGGCTCAGTTAGTATTTTGTTTGTGTGCTGGCTTGTGTGTACCTTTGTCTCTGTGCACTTCACTTGTCACTCAGGCCAGTGTTGCGTGATGTAAACCCAATTTGCTCTGCCTTGCTGCCTCTCTCAGACCGGGAGAAGACCATGGAGCTCATTCGCTTCCTGGTGCCTGAGATGCTGAACGGACGATTGGTGGACTCTCTGTCAGGCCACGCCCTGTCAGCTGCTGGCTTAGCGGCCTCACTCCTCTCTGAGGGGGAGGAGCCTAGCACACTCCCGCCCCTTCACACCTCTAACTGTGCAGTTATAAAAGCTCAGAAGCCGGGTTGGTAATATCTGTGACTGCAACTAGAGGAAATCCATTAAACTGTCCTAAATAAGACTAATTCCAGAGCAGATCTGTTACACTGTTCTGAATAAGACACACTCTGGGTACTTTGAAGTTTACTAAAAAGGAAATAGCATTTTTTTAATTCAGAATGACCAGACTCAATATGTTGTAATTAAGGACTAACCTTGCACTGCTTGCACAGGGTATTCATCAAATAACGTTTAAAAAAAAACTTTGACATGATATGTCTACCTTTGCTCAGTCCATGGATTAACTGACCTTTTTTGGATGTTATTTTTTTACCCATTTTAAAACAAATAAAGAAATAGAAAACTATTCATGTTTATATTTTTATAACATTTATAACATTGCAACAAAAGACAAAAATATATTTTAGAGTAAACCTTGTAAAACAGTATTATGTACTGTAGGAATGACTGATATTTATTTACTGATACATTAATTTGTATTGTATATGCAGTACTCCCCTAAATACTTAAAACAAACATGTAGGGCATTGAATAAAATTAGTTATTTATAGGTTTGTTACATAATGATATAGAGATTGATATTTGATGTATAGAATAATGCCAAAAGCATCATCTGTAAAAGAGAAACATCTGCCTGAATCAGTTTTAATGGATTTTCGGCTTGCCTCATCACCTCCCTATTTGTGTGTTCTGATTATATTTCCCTCTGGCTTCTCTGCTGAACCCTTCAGCAATTTTGAGAGTAGGTAATGACATGTCTTAGTATCACAGACACGTTTTAGTAGTCTGAACCATTTCTTATTTCCTGGAAAAAAAGTTTCCTATTCTTTAAAAAAGTACACTTCACAGTGAGGTCTAGTTACTTTAACTTTTAAAACAAAAAAACTACCGAGCCTACATATGTACAAGAGGCATCCTGGGTGGCAGTTTTGTATTTGAAGTTCCTACTAAAGCATGTTATCATGGCGGGCACAACGAAGTAAAAACTTTTCAAAAGAAAAAATGCCCAAAAGTATGTTCATCTGGTGTTAGCACTTTGAGAGATTTCTCATCTCCACACAAGCAGGTAAATCTAGTTTACTCTGAGGGGCTCAGCTCTACTCCAGCATGAGTTCGTCTGAATGAAACTCTCAGGTTTGCCTTTCTCTCTGGTAAAATCTCACTATTCTCTCCTGATCCTTTCTGCATAACCAGACTCATTTTCAGGACCACACACACTTGTGAATGATGCTCATTTGGAGTTAAATACAAATATTATTTGTGTGAACAGCACTAAAGGCCCCCTGTCTTCAGAAGGTATGATTTTTATAAAATGCTGAAAGTGCTTCAGCAATGTGCCCTACCAGTAGACTGCGCAACAGAATCCGTTTAAACCTCAATCAATGAACAGCTAAAAACCCGATCAACATTGTTAATTGAACTGGAACCAAGGGCTTCCTTTGAACCCTCTAAAAGTAAAATATTATTTATCAAATCACATATAATTTGTATGTCAATAGAGAAAAAGGAGTGTGGTAGATCCAGATCGATCTTGTCTACATACAATACCATAAACTTGAGAAAGCTTTTAAAAACTCATCAAAAGAAAAGGAAGTGTCAATCATCAAATCAAGTATGCTCAATCAAGGGAAAATACCCTTTCTGTAACTGAGTATAGTATCACAGAGTATTCTTGGGTTCCCTTGCTTTCCCAGAGACCTTATACCAAGTCCAGACCATTGACACTTTGAAAGGAAGCAGCTGACACGAGTTGGAGGTCCTGGAAAAGTGGTCGGTTGTTGACCAGAGCCTTAAGGTCACCGGATACTGACCCTTCTCGGTCACTCTAATGACTCTTCCCTCCTGCAGCCTGTCCTGAATCTGGTCCCAGTGCGGGCTGGGGTGGGGTGTGGTGGTCTGTGTGTTCCGGGCTGTGTCTCTGTGTCATTATCACCTGTGCCTCCTCACAGTGCCTGCCACCAAGCTGAGCACCCTGACCCGCACCACCGCGGGGCCCTGCCACTGCAAGTACGACTTGATGGTCTTCTTCGAGATCTGCGAGCTGGAAGCCAATGGAGAGTAAGTGGGCCCGGCTCTTCCTGGTGAATGAATGGCCTGTTGATTCAGCAAACAATGAGTAAACCAGAGATGCAGAACACTAAACTAATACTCCATCCTCCTCATGTAAAATGTTAGTCCAGTTACTGCATTAAACACATTTTATGCTGAATACATTTGATTTTCCAGGTCATACTGTTTCATAGTGGGTCTTATCCATCATCCTAAAAATGCAGAAAGCCTTGTGTTCTTGGAAGGGATTCACAGGAAATAAAATCCTCTTTTTCCTTCCCAGCTATATCCCTGCCGTAGTTGATCACAGGGGAGGCATGCCCTGCCATGGGACGTTCCTGCTGCATCAGGTAGTGTTTCCACATCCTTGCTCAGTCATTGATGAGGCCTTAATAATCACAGGTCTGATCAGAACAAACCCTCCTAATGTTCTCCTAGTTTAGTTCACAAGCACCTTTGTAGTTCACATTTACCCCGAGTTCACACCAGAAGCGACATGCCAGCACAGCGAAAGCGTAGCGTAAGAGACCATCTGTCCAATCCACACCAACTCTGACAGTTGCGTTCCGTATTCAAACGCTACAGGCGGGAAAAGAGGAACAGCACCTCTCGTTTGTTTTCTGGAAAACGATATTTTGTGGTAACCGATTATCAGTTATGGGTAAGTGAACGTACTGAAGATTTTGTTTTCGTTTTGAGTCTGTATTGATTGTTCAGAAGTTGAATTGGTTCGTTAGCTTCCTAATTACAGCTGTTGTGGATATTCCCCGTAGCGAGTTTATCTTAAATTAACATTTATAATTAAGTTGAAGATTCATTATATTGTTGTAGATTGTGCTTATATAGTTCACAGGGTATAGAAAGTATGAGGTTTGAGTGATTTGAATGGATCTCCGTGGGGTTTATGCTTCGCTCATGCGCGCAAGTGGAAAAAAATAGACTCAGAGTGGAAAGAAATGCTGGAGGACAGAGCGGACAGACATGAGATGCGCGTCTCGCAGGGCCGGTGTGGATTGAAACATTGGTTAAAATGGAAGCGTATATGATCTGTGAGTTGGACGATTAAAAAACGCTTCAGAAACGCTTTTGGTGTGAATTGGCCTCTATACTGTACCTCTTTATTTGTTTGCTGACTTTCCAGGATTTACATTTTCAGTTTTGCTTATGTGAATTCTTTCTACATTTCAATGTAAGTCAAGAAACGGCAATGGATGTAGAAAGGAGGGGTAAAGTAATTAATAATAATAATAATAATAATAATAATAATAATTGCTTACACTTATATAGCGCTTTTCTGGACACTCCACTCTAAGCGCTTTACAGGTAATGGGGACTCCCCTCCACCACCACCAGTGTGCAGCCCCACCTGGATGATGCGATGGCAGCCATAGTGCGCCAGAACGCTCACCACACATCAGCTATCAGTGGGGAGGAGAGCAGAGTAATGGAGCCAATTCATAGATGGGGATTATTAAAATGCCATGATTGGTTAGGGCCAATGGGAAATTTTGGCCAGGATGCCAGGGTTACACCCCTACTCTTTTCGAGAAACGCCCTGGGATTTTTAATGACCACAGAGAGTCAGGACCTCGGTTTTACGTCTCATCCGAAAGACGGCGCCTGTTTACAGTATTTTTATATATAGTATAATTGTGGCGATCTAACCACAGCTGCTTGAACAAGACTGTAGCTGAGCCAAGAGCTGTCTGTTCTAGTGGTAACGTGAGAAAGTGAAACACAGGTCAGCATCACCACACTGTGGTGGGTCACAAGGCAAGAACTGCGAACCCTCTTCCGTTTCTCCCAACAGGGCATCCAGCGGAGAATCACGGTGACCATCGTGCATGAGACAGGGAGTGACATTGAGTGGAAAGAGGTCAGGGAGCTGGTTGTGGGTAAGTTTCTGTGTAATATATACTGTTTATGCACGTACTGAGGGCACAAAACAGGCTTGTGCCTTGTGAGTAAGATTCTGTATGGACCACCACAGTGCTACTACAGTGCCAGATTTGGCTGGTTTTTAGTCCTCTGTGCATTTATTTGACCCCACTGAATAAAGACTACTGATATATAAATTACAAATGCAACAGAAAACTTTACCCCAACATATTTTATTCAAGTAAACCAGATGCAAAACTTTGTTTTCTTTTTATAATTGATCCTCGGGCAAGATTTTTGTAGATGAATAATAATGCAACTTTGCCTTTGTTTACAGTTAAATGTCACACAAAACCCAAAATAACTAACTGACCTGCATCCTACTTTCACTAATTAGGTGTGCACAGAGTTAATATAGAATAGCCAAGGCCTATTAATTTATGCAGGAATATATGGTTTGATAAAATTTACAATCTATCTAGTGAATCTCATATGATGATTCCGATGTGCTGATATCAGAATGTAACATTTTCACAGTACTTTATTAAAAATCATATTGTAGCTTATGAAAGGAAGTGAGTTTTCCTTGATCAGTTCTGATTTGACCCTTTTTCCTCAGGACGTATCCGCAACACTCCTGAAGCTGACGAGACCATCATTGACCCCAACATCCTGTCCCTCAACATCCTGTCAGCAGGGTACATCCACCCATCGCAGGATGACAGGTATGCCCACCGCCTCACTCCTTCTGCCCCACAAACCCACATCCCCCACTCTTGGGAATGCCCTGAGAACTTATTTCCAGGGAGAATTCAATGAGCTTCTGTGCATTACAGACAGCTAAAATAACTCTGTTTCAGTCATGGTGTTGAAATGTCCATTTCTGTGACATATACAACAGACTGAAAGATAAACTGTTTACACACTGCACCATAGTGCATTGTCCCTTACTTTTTGAGTCAAATACTGTAGATCATGAATAAATCTGAAAAAGGAGTGAAGATGATCTTTTTGAAAACTTTAATGAGAAATTGTTTTATGCCTTCGAGTTCATCTCATGCTAGAAACACACAGATAGAAGACTAAATTTGCAGGGGGCAGTAAAAATATACTAATAAACACTGGTGTAATATTTTACATCTTCATGTCCCTTTTTCTTCTATCACAGTGTCTAAGTGTTCACTCCTTTGGGATCCACTTTAATAACCTAAATGCAGTGGACCTTCTGTGAGGCCTCCTGTACTCAATGGGACTGCTGATATATACAGTATAGTCCCTTCTTTCAAATTTTACTATTCCAGATGAAACACCCTTTTATCCTTTCATGAGGAAAAACATCATGGGATTTTTCTAGTGATGGGCATGCCATCTTCCAATGTGCTCCCATCTCCTTTCTACAATAGCCACTCCTCAATGCTACTCCCCTACTCCAGTCAACTAGCAGCGAACTGCGGGTTGCAGTCTCTTCAAGGCTCTGTCCTTCTTCTAAATCTTTCAAACTAAACTTTTAAAATCATGGCCCCAAGTGTCTATGCTGTGATCACTGCAGAGGTCTGCAAAAAGATCGTAGCCTTCAGTTCCCTGGTACAGTAAGCACCTTCGTGTGAGACCTGCACAACACAGAATGACACAGCGCTAAAACAACTGACTTCTTCATGGTCAAACCAATATAAACATGAGGATTTTTTTTGGTCTCATAGAGTTAGACTTCATGTTGAGTTTTAAGTAAC